GACAAAAACACTAAAAGAACTTCAAAATAACAAAGCTGTAGAACTATCTGAAACAAATTATAAATATATTAAAATGTGAAAATATTAGAAAAAATAAATGTTAGATACGTCAGCACTGATGAAACAATATTTGAATATGAAAGTACTGGTGATGTAACCTTCATGTGCGAAGATACAGATAAAATCATTTATAAAAGTATTAGTGATACAAGTTTTAAAACTTTTGAACTTAGAAATACTAGTAAAATATGTCTTAATGATGTAGATAATCAATATATACAGGTATATATATATAAATAAAGTTAATTATCTGATATATATTGAATGCATTTTTTATAATAAAAATATTTTTAGGAATGTACCTAGGATTTATTACCAGATTCTCTTAGAGATATCTTTCCTCCAAACTACAATTATAGTATTTAACATTTTACTGAATTGCTATCATACTGAACTGAAGAAAATTTTGAAATACTTCAGTTTGAAGTTAACATATTTATTAATATTGGAACTCTAGAAAGTATAATAGCATAGTATTCTGATTTTAAAAGTCATTCAAAGACAATAATATTATAAATGAAAGGATATAATATTAAAGGAAAATGTGTAATGTTTTGAGAATTAAAATATTGCATATATAGTCAAAAAGTTAAGAATAAACAAGAAAATTCTGAAACTAAATATATACAAAGCATATGCAAAAGAAATACTACATGCAAAAGAAACACAGAATACTCAGCAACTATAAGTTTAAGATTAGAACATTATCATGTAAATACTAATTATCTATTTGAGGTTAATTTGTATTTTACATATAATCATATTATTAATTCAGTGAAAACACTTAGTTTTTGCCATATAAATAAACAAGCCAACTAAATCTTAGTGCATTTTTTCAGCAGTCGAATCATCTGTTAAAAAAAATTAAGGCCCAATATTTTGTTCATAACCAAAAAATGCATGCTTTGGAAGAATTTTTTTTAAGATACTAATCGTTTCTTTAATAGTAATCTCAAGTTCATCTGACATTATGAATAAATCTAATAG